CCAACTCTCTCAGCCTGTCCTCATAAGAGAGGTGCTCCAGCCCTCTGATCATCTTTGTGGCCCTCCTCTGGACCCGGTCGAACAGGTCTATGTCTTTCCTATGTTGGGGTCTCTAGAGCTGGACATAGTACTACAGATGGGGTCTCACAAGAACAGATAGAGGAGAAGAATCAGCTCCCTTGACCTGCTGGCCACACTTCTTTTGATGCAGACCAGGATGTGTTTGGCTGCCTGGGCTGTGATCTCGCATTGCTGGCTCATCTTGAGCTTCTCATCAGTCAGTACCCTCAGGTCCTTCTCGTCAGGGCTGCTCTCGATCCATTCTCTGCTGAGCCTGTATTTATGCATGGGATTGCCCTGACCCAGATGTAGGACCTTGCACTTGGCCTGGTTGAACTTCATGAGGTTGGCTTGGGCCCACCTCTTCAGCCTGTACAGGTCCCTCTGGATTGCATCTCTCCCTTCCAGCATGTCTACCTCACCACACAGCTTGGTATCATCAGCAAACTTGCTGAGAGTGCACTTGATCCCACTGTCTTTGTCACCAACAAAGATGTTGAACAGCACTGGTCCCAGTACCGACCCCTGAGGAACACCACTCTTAACTAGTCTCCACTTGGACATCAAGCCGTTGACCACAACTCTTTGAGTGTGACCATCCAGCCAGTTCTTTATCCACTGAGTGGTCCATCTCATGGACCTTCTCTTCATGTCTCTTCAATTTAAGACCAGGATATGATGTGGGGCAGCGTCAAACACTTTGCACAAGTCCAGGTAGATGACGTCAGTTGCTCTTCCCTTGTGTACTACCACTGTAACCCCCTCGTAGAAGGCCACCAAATTTGTCAGGCATGACTTGCCATTGGTGAAGCCATGTTGGCTGCTATCAATGACCTCCTTATTTTCCGTGTGCCTTAGCAGAGTTTCCGGGAGGATCTGCTCCATGACCTTGCCAGGCACAGAGGTGAGACTGACTGGCCTGTAGCTCCCCAGGTCTTCCTTTTTTCCCTTTTTGAAAATAGGGGTTATGTTTCCCCATTTCTGGTCAGCAGAAACCTCACTGAACTGCCACGACTTCTCAAATATGATGGATAGGGGCTTAGCAACTTTGCCAGTTCCCTCAGGACCCGCAGATGTATCTCATCAGGTCCCATGGACTTGTGCACCTTCATCTTCCTCAGGTGGTCTCCTACTTGATCTTCACCTACAGTGGGCGGTTCTTCATTTTCCCAGTCCTCGCCTTTGCCTTCTGCATTATGGGTAGTGTGGACCTACTTCTGTTTTAGAAGAAAGATGCTGATGAAGAAATGCATGGGAACACACCACTTTCAGGTGGAGTGGGCTGAAAAACAGCCGAGGAGATACAGGTATCCGGCTGAACAGCAATAAATGGGAAAAGAAGAGACATCTTGATCTTCTCCACTGTCACAGATGTTATGATGCCACAAGTGTAGCTTTTTAAGTGGCTTTACCTGTCAGCTCCCATTCATTGCAGGTAAAGGCCTCACAGTGCTTAAGAAAAGGTCCGTTTGGAAGACGTCCTTCCAGTCAGGAGTTTTCCGGGGTCACCCCTAAGTACCTCAATGTCACCATTTGTAAAGGGGCTTTGTTTTCTTGGCTCTTTGTGGCTGCTGCCCCGGCACCGCAGAGGTGGAGGAGATGGTCCCAGGTCCCCAGGCTGTCCCAGAACCAGGGTCCTGGATGGACGTGGGTGGGAGGTGGTGGGTGAGGGACAGCGGAATGCTGCCTTCATCCAACACAAAGCCCTGGGAGCTGAGCCTGGCCATGAGGCCTCCACAGGACCCCGCCGTTGTGCTGGAGACAGACCCTCCCACCCGTCCCTAGGGTCAGTACGGCCTCCCCAGAGGAGATGGCTCCTCCTTTTTGCCTCATGACAGGGTGCCTGTTTTGGGCAGGGGATGCTGCCAGGAGCATGCCGAGCTGGATGGACGTGCCGCCTGCTGTCGGTGCCATGCTGCGGGGCGAGGGGACTGGCGCTGCAGGTGGGGAAGCTGGAAGGGCTGCTGGGAGGAGGGGGGCACAGAGCTCCTGCCAGGGCCAGGTGCCCACATCCACCCTTCCACCCGTGCCCAGCAAAGACACCTCACTGGCGAGGGCAGGGCTCCTTATTGAGCAGCACAAGCAAGATCCAGAGCCATCCTCATCCTCCAATGGGTTCTTCAAAGAGGAAGATGAGGGGCAGGAGCAGAAGCAGGTAGAAGAAGAAGTGGTTTGCCTGGCAGAGGCAGCAGGCCAGGACAACACAGGCCACCACCTCCAGTAGCCGCGATTTCATGCCATGCAGCTGCATCTTCCCTGCACAGCCCCATGGGACTGCAGAGACAGCAAGCCATGCATGGAACATACCCCGCGCTGCAGGTGGGAAGCCTTCCAGGGATGCTCCAGGGGGGTGTCTGGCACCTGGGACCCCCCCAGGCACCCTCAGCCCCTCCTCAGGCTGGTACACACATAGCTCTGTTCCTGCTGTGGCCGGCGGGGGCCCCCCAGCCCCGCATGGGCAGGTCCCGGCTGGGGGAGGGACCCAGTGTGGCTGCCGGCCCCTCTTGCCCCTGCGCCGAGGTTCTGCGGGGCAGCCATGGGCAGATGGCTTTGGCATTTGGTGCAGGAGAGCAGTGGCCAGGGACAGCCTCAAGCAGCCGGGGAAGCCCTTGAAAAGCACCTCGGAGCCCCTCACCCCTCCCTAGACCACAATGACACCCCCTCACCTTCCTCACAGACACCGCCTCCATCCCTGCCAGTGCGGGGGACACAGGAGGGCTCTGCCCCACGCTGCCCTCCCGTGGAGCCCACGTCCCCCCCCTACTGTGGGACAGGGCACTCAGAGGACGGGGACGAGGAGAGATGGGGCCAGGCTGGCCAGGAGACCCCTCGCCCTGAGATCACGCACCCGGCCCACGCACCCGAGCACTTAACCACCCTCATGGGCACTGCTGGGTGGATGTGGCACTGCCGAGCGGTTTTGGCACAAGCCCTGTGGCCAGCCTGGTGGCTGCCGAAACATTTGCCTTGGCTGGCAGCCCCAACCTCAGCTGCAGCCCGCGGTTCCCATATTGGGGCAGCTCGGGGCAGTGAGCCAGGCAGGCGGCAGCACCAGCACCGGGCGCAAGGCACCGGCATCCCCAGGGCTCTGTTGTTCCACCCCAAAGGAGAACCCCCTTTTTGGGACACTCTGGCACCAGGGGTGCCGGAGGGGGCTTCTCCGCACCTATGGAGAGCAGCAGGCTTTCCCAGGAGCACCAGCACCAGTGGTGCAAACAGCTTCAATGCCAAGTTGGTGAGTTTGGCCCCACTGCCGCCCCCGCTCCAGCTGCAGGGTGCCATGGGGGGGGCCACGGCAGCCAGCCGGCGGCCT